TCGAGGGGGGACCCCCCGCTGGGGGAGGGAACCTGCCTTTTTCATGGATTTCTTGGGGTTGGAGGCCTCAGGAGCATCATCGTCCTTGCGGGCACGGGGCTTGTCGGGGTCCTGGCGGAGGGACTGGGGGGGCAGGAATTGGGGTGGGGGTTGGAAAGGGGGCAGAAATTGGGAACAGGGCAGGAATTGGAGAGAGGGGATTGGGAAGAGGGGATTGAGGATCCAGGAATTGGCAGGGAGGTGTTTGGGAAGGGGTGATTGAGGGGCAGGAATTGGGATGGGGGGAAGGAATCAGGGGCATTTGGGAAAGGGAGATGGAGGGAGCAGGGTTTGGCAAGGGGGCGGGAATTGGGGAGGATGGATTGGGCAAGCAGGAATTGGGGGACAGGAATAGGGATGGGGGCATTAGGGAGGGTAAATCGGGGCAGGAAATTGGGGAGGGGGGTTCAGGATGAGGAGGGAATGGAGAGGTTGGGGGATAATGGAATTGAAGGGGAAACAATGGAGTTAGAGCAGGAAAATCCGAGGCAGGAAAAGACCAAATAAAAGAGGAAAAGACCAAATGAAGGAGAAAAAGTCCAATAAAAGAAAGCAAAGGGCAAGTGAAGAAGGAAGGAAAATCAAGGAAGGGTCGGAAATAGGAAATGAAAGGATGAAAAACTCAATTGAAGCAGAAAAAGGTCAAATGAGAAGTGGGAAAATGAAACTAAAGCAGGAAAACTAAAGGAGGAAAAAGCCAAATAAAGGCAGGAAAAAGCCAAATTAGAAGTGAAAAAGGTCAAGTAAAATATAGAAAAGGATGACTGAAGGGAGAGAACCTCAAATTTGAGGAGAAAAAATTCAGATTCAAGGAGGAAGAGGCAAATTAAAGCTGAAAAATGCCAAATTTGGGGCAGAATAGCCCAAATTAAAGCAGGAAAAAAAAAAGTTGGAAACCCCCACAAAAAGCCAGAAAATAAGAAATTAAACATAGAAAAAGCAAATTAAAAGTGGAAAGCTCCAGATTAAGTGCAGCAATACCCAAATTAAATGTGGGAAACTCCAAATGAAAGCAGGAAACCCCCAAATCAAAGGTGGGAAAAGCCAAACAAAGTGTGGAAATACAGAAATTAACGACGGAAACCCCCAAATTAAGTGCAAAAATACCCAAATTAAAGGTGGAAAATTCCAAATGAAAGCAGGAAACCCCCAAATCAAAGGTGGGAAAAGCCAAACAAAGTGTGGAAATACAGAAATTAAAGATGGAAACCCCTGAATTAAGTGCAAAAATACCCAAATTAAAGCAGGAAAGCCCCAAATTAAAGGTGGGAAAAGCCAGACTGACGGCATAAACCCCCAAATGAAGGGCGAAATGCCCCAGTCAAAGGTGGGATCCCCCATGGAAGCTGCCAGATCCCAGTCCGTACCAGGAGGTCAGGGCTGGAGCCCCGTTCCCGGTTCCCGTCCGGTTTCCCGCCGGATTTGGGCATCATCTTCTTGCTGGCGACGGTGGGGACGAGGCAGACGCCCGAGAGCCCCTCGCAGGCCAGGAGACTCGCCTGGAACAGGGAGGGACCCCCAGGATCAGCCCCCAGCCCCTGAACACCCTGGAGGGATGGGTGGGGCAGCAGCCCCCAATTCTGGGCCCTGATGGGAGCTTTGGGATAATGTAGGGAAACTTTGGGATGATCACGAGGGAAAATTGGGAGAATCCTGGGGAAACTTTGGGATGATCACAAGGGAAAACTGGGAGAATCCTGGGGAAACTTTGGGATAAGCACAAGGGAAAATTGGGAGAATCCTGGGGAAACTTTGGGATAATCACAAGAGAAATTTGGAAGAATCCTGGGGAAACTTTGGGACGATCACGAGGGACAATTGGGATGATCGCGAGGGACAATTGGGATGATCGCGAGGGAAGTTCCGGGGAAACTTTGGGATGATGTCAAGGGAAGTTTGAGATAATCTGGGGAAGCTTTGGGGATGATGGCAGGGGAAATTTGGGATGATCCCAGAATAGTTCTGGGAAGATCCCAAAGTGGAACACAAGGGGTTGGACCCTCTTCTTTCAGCCCAATGAGGATTTAAGATCAAATGGGAAAATTCAAGGGAATTATGCAGAAACTTTGGAATAATCCTGTGAAACGTGAGATAAACTCATGGCAAAATGGGAAGACCCCAAAATTGGGAATGGAGGAGGATGAACCCCCTTTTTTGAGGCCTGTTGGCACCTAAGAGTTAATGGGAAATAAGGGGATAATCCCAGGGAAAAAAATGGGGAATTATGGGGAAAATCTGGGGTAATTCCTGAATAATTCTGTTAAGAGCCCCAGAGAAGGAGGGTTTGGGGAGGCTGAACCCCAAATTTGAGGCCTGACAGGACCTAAAGGCTACCAGGGAAATCCTGGAGAAAACTGGGATAATCACAAGGAAAATTCAGGATAAATATAAGGAAATTTTGAGAGAACACCAAGGATAACTGGGATAATCCTGGGGTAACTCTAGGAAGACCCCAGGGTGTATTTGGGGTTGGAAAATCTTCTTCCAGCCTAGAGAGGATCTAATGGATAACAGGAAATTTCAAGATAATCCTGGGGAAAATTTGGATTATCCCATGGAAAACTGGGACAATTCCAGCAGAAACTGGGAGAATTCAGGAATAATGCTGGAAAAACCTCAAAAGTGGGGAGGGAAAGGTGGGGGGAGGCAAAACCACCCCCAAACCATCAACTGAATGACTGACCTGCCTTTATTGGGGCCCTAAAGGCTACTGAGGAAATTTGGGAAATTCTGGGGAAAACTGGGATAATCAGGGGAAAAATTTGGGATAATACTGTGGAAGTTTGGGAAGAGTCCACGTGTGGAGGGGCAGCCTGAACCTCCTTTTTTGAGGCCTCGCAGGCCCTCAGGGCTAAGGGAAAAATTCGGGGTATTTCTGGGGAAAATCAGGATAATCTTGAGGAAAACAGGGATAATCCTGTGATATGCCCTGAAGCAGGATGGGGGGACGGGGAGGCACCCCCCACCCTGGCGCAGGGGGAAGGAAGCTCCAGCTCTCTCCCCTCTTCTTTCCCTTTTCCCGTTTTTTGGGGCCGTTGTTCCCCCAAATTCCTGGGCCTGGGGGTGTCAGGATGCAGGGGGTGGGGGCTCATTACCTGAGCCATGCTGTGGGAGCCTTTGGCCTTACTTCTCGCCCAGGTAAAGCTCGTTTGGGGTAAGAAAAGGTGGGATCAGTAAATTTTTATGGATTTTTGGGCGGGCTCCAGTACCCGCCACGGCGCCGCCATTCCTTCTTCTCCTCCTCCTCCTCTTCCTCCTCTTCCTCCTCCTGAAGGGGCCACTGGGGCAGGAAGGGGGGGGAGACAGGGCCGGGCTTGCCCCCAAATTCGGGACCCCCCGAGTTGGGCGGGTGCTGGATCTGCAGGGACGGAGCTGAATCCAGAGGGATCCGCCTGGGGGAACAGCAGGAAAAGGGGTCAGAGGGGGGACAGGGGGGAGACAGAGAGGGGACAGAGAGGGGACAGAGAAAGGCCTGAAGAGGACCTCGGGGTGGGAGCCACGGGGGGAACAGGGACACCCTGCGAGGAATGTGGGTGGGTGTCCCAGGTCAGGGTGGCACTGGGGGCGAAATTCCTGAAACAGGGGGCGTCCCANGGGCCCCCCTAGACCCCCCCGGCCCCACGGATCCCCGGAAAACCGCACTGCTCGAGGCCCCCCCACAGATGAGACCTCTCCACCTCCTGCCAAAGAGGCCTCTGGCCACGGTAAGAGGTTCTGAGGGGGCCTCCTGGAATGGTGAAGGGGGGTGGGTGCTTTTTCTGGGCTCCCTTAGGGACGTGCATTTGGGGAGACCCTGCCCTTGTGGTACAGGGAGACCTCAAACCTCAGGGAGGGACCCGGGTCTCGGGCGGTCCCAGGGATGGAGGGGGGGTTGTGGTCCCACGGTGTGGAGGGACCCCGATGCCAGAGTATGGAGGTGACCCCATCCCAGGGTAAGGGAATCTTGGGAATGTTGGGGGGGCCCATTCCCATGGCACAGGGGTACCTCAATTCCAGGGTAAGGGGGGACAGAGATGTGACAGTATCCTGCATCCATTCTGTGGGGGTACCCCAGTTCCAAGGTATTCCCCTTTTCCATGCCCCAGGATACAGGGGTGTCACATTCCTGTGGCCTGGGAGTATGCCAGTTCCAGGGTCTGGGAGTGCTCCAGGGATGCAAGGATGTCCCAGTTCCATGGAATGGGGTACCCTGATCCTGGAGTTTGGGGGTTCCTCAATCCCAGGATATGGGAATCTCAGGAATGTGGGGTTGGTTTGGGGTGCCCTGTTCCCATGGTATGATGGTGTCCTGATCCCACGGCCCAGGGAGCCACAGTCCTGAGGTGCAGCAATGTCTCATTCCCATGGAATGGGGGTGTCCCAGGGTTGGGGTACAGGGATGTCCTATTCACATGGAATGGGGTACCCCAATCCCAGGGCATGGGGCTGCCCTGATCCCAGGATATGGCAGGGTTAAAGGTCACACAATCCCAGAGTTAAAGGACAGTATCACCTGATTTGAGGGTGCAGGGTTCTAATCTCATGGCATGGGAATGCCCTACTATTGGGATGCAGGGATGTCCCAGTCCCATGGGATGGGAGTGTCCTGATTTTGGGGTGTGAGAATGTCCTAGTCTCACATATCGGGATGTCCCAGTGTTGGGGTGCAGGGTTACCCCAAACCCATGGCATGAGGGTGTCCTGATTTTGGGGTACAGGGGATTTTTCTGGGTACCCCAAGTTCATCCCTGTTTTCCAGAGGGATTTTGTCTGTTCCAGTTCCTGTCCCCCCTTGCACCCCAATCCCAGATCCTTGTCTATGTGCAGTGGGGAGCTGGGGGAAGTGAACTCTGGCTTTGGAATACGATAGGGATAGGGGTAGGAAAGGGGAGGGAGGAGGTGGCAACCGGGATGGGGAAGAGGGAAAAGGGATGGAGAAGGCTCAGAGGAGGTGGAGAAGGGGAAGAGGGGATGGAGAATGTGAAGAGGGGATGGAGCAGATAAGGATGGGAAAAGGAAAGAGAAAAGAGGATGGGAAAAGGGGAAGAGGAGCTGGAGAAAGGTGAGAAAGAGGATGGGGAAAGGACAGTGGGAATAGAGCAGGTACAAATAGGATGGAGAATGTGGGAAAGGAATGGAAAAGGGGAAGAGAGGATGGAAAATGGAAAGAAGGATGAAGGTACCAGTGGGACCAAGCTGAGACAGAGGGCCTGGAGCAGGTGCCAGTTGGAAAGGGCAGGTGTCCTTGGGATGGAGCAGGCGGCTGGGGGCCCCAGCTCCTGTCCTTGCCCTACCGGTGCCCGCCCTCCTCTTACACAGCCCATCCTGGCCTGGCCCGGCAATGTCGGAAGCCCCCCAGGCCCCCTGTGGGGGGACCAAGTCCCCTGAAGGAGCTGCTGAGGCCAGAAGGGGCCGGGCTGCACCCCACTATCTGCGGGGAATGTGGGAAGGGCTTCAGCTGGAGCTCGGGCCTGGCACGGCACGGCATCACCCTCACTGGGGTGCGACCGTTCACCTGCAGCGCCTGCGGGAAGGGCTTCAGCCAGAATTCCAACCTGGCCACGCACCGGTGCATCCACGCCGGGGAGAAGCCCTTTGGCTGCTGGGACTGCGGGAAGCGCTGCGGGGAGAGCTCGGCGCTGGTGCAGCACCGGCGGATGCACACCTGGGAGCGGCCGTACACATGCAGGGAATGCAGGAAGAGCTTCAGCGTCAGCTCCAACCTGTGGCAACACTACCGTACCCATGGCTGAGAGGTACACCTCTGAGAGACTACACCTCTGCCCTGAGTGCGGGAACTTTCTGGAACCCTGGCCAGCTCTGGAGGCGCTGCAGAGGGCATGGGTACAGTGACACCTGGAGGGGCGTCAGGACACCTGGATGGGTTGGGACACATGAATGGGGATAGGGCCATCGTAATGGGGACGCTAGCATGAGCATGGGGCGGAGGGGATGGGATGGGAACAAGGATGGAGATGTGTTGGTTTGGCGCAGCCTGGTTTTTGGCGGGGGGGCGGGTGGTGCCACAGGTGTGGCTTCTCTGAGAAGCGTCTGGAAGCTTCCACCATATCCAATCCGATGGCTGTGAAGATGGACGTGCTGCAGGCCCAATTAGAGAGATTGGTAACACCTCTGTGATGACATATTTAAGCAGAAAATCAAAACCGTGTTTGCACGTTTTTTTCCTGGGGTGGCAAAGCCCTGCTGCCGGGGCCATCCTCGTGCAGCCTGCAGCGATGCGCTGCAGCCACCGCCATCTCAGCAAGGCCTGCGGCGAGCCTTGCCTGCCTGGCTGCCCCGAGCCAGCTGCACTGCCGGTGGAAAGGGCAGGGACAGTGGCAGCAGCGTCCCCATCCCAGCACCCCGCATGAGGAGAGGCATTAAACAGCGCCAGCACCGCGGCGGCCGCCACTGCCCTGCAATGGCAGCAGGGCTGTATGGCCAGCAGTGGAAGCACAATGAGCAGCTCCCTGATGCAGAACCTAGACCAAATCAACATAGTGCTGCATGATCCTGCAGGAATCTTTGGACTGGTTCAACTTGTCGGCACTGGTACTGGGATTTGGGGTACACTAGAAATGAAGGGCACTGGGAATGGGTGTGGGGACACAGGACATGGGGGACACCAAACACTGGTGGGGGAACACACTGCAAGTAATGGGGGGACACTAGGGACAGGTGGGCTGTACACTGGGGACAGGGGGGACAATGAGAATAAGTTTGGGGACCCTGGGAATGGGTGGGGGCCACACTGGGAATGGGTTGTGGGGACACTGGGAGTGGGAGGTCATATGGGGTCACCACTCTTCCCACAGATCCGGGGGCACAGTCCTAACCCTTCCCCCCTGTCCCCAGAACCCTCCGGGGCTCCTTCCTGAGTTCTGGACTTTGCTCCTTGCCCCCGGCGACATGACCAGAGGAAAATTCCATCCTGGGGAGGGAAGAGAGAGGAGCTGGGAAAGCCTGATCCAAGAGAGCCTGATCCCAGGAAAAGTTTCTTCTGGCAGCACCTAATTCGAGGATCACCTGGTCCCAGGATCATCTAATCCCAGGGGACGCTGTTCCTGGCAGCAGCTGATCTTGGAAAATTGCAGCTGGCAGAGGTGAGAGGAGAGGTGAATCCAGAGAGCCTGATGCCCAGAGAAACCCATCCTGGGAACACCTAAGGTTGTGATCATCCTGTTACAGAACTACCTAATTCCAGAAGAACATCATTCTGGAATCGCCGTATCCCAGGAGAATTTCATCCTGAGAGAGCCTTATTCCAGGAGCACCTCATCGCAGGGGGAAGCTCAGTCTGGGATCACCTTATCCCAGGAGATCCTTGTCCCGGGATCACTTTATCCCAAGATTATCTCCTTCCAGGAGAAGCTCATCCTGGGATCCCCCACTCCTGCCACCTGCTGCCAATTCCAGGGTCCCTCCCGCTGCACTTCGGGGTCTCCCTGTGTTCTCCTGCCATGGCTGAGCCCTCTGGGGCTGGGGACAGCATCCCATTGGAATGTCCTGGCCTGGACACGGCCGCTGGGGAGGAATTCCTGCAGGAAGTGTTCCAGATCCTGCTGGAGGAGGGCGTGCGGAAGAGCACAGATGTGACACAGAAGGTTGGGACACTGGGGCACTCGGGAGGGAGGGTCCCCAGTCCCATTGCATCCTATTCC